CTTGAAATACATACATTTCTGTAGTTGCCTTCTGCCCCATTGACCAATACAGTGTTGCACAAACACCAAATCAATTGTGTTCCATTTTTATGGCTTTTGTTTCAGAGACATTTCTATCCCACTAATGATATACAAACCTCCACATCTCATGCAAGTTTAGGTCTACTGTGCACAACTTGAATCTGAGTGTGATAGAAATGCATCTTTTGCTCATACCTGCACTGGTGCGAGTAGAAAGGCCCTGTGTTGGTACCTTACCCAGTGATTGACTCTAACAGGTATATGTTATGAGAGTGATGAATAAGCATAGTTGTGAACTACAATTTAAATTGCCTATGAGATATGTAATGGCTATGAGGTTGCTAAGGTGGTGGATGGTTATGAAAATTGGATTTGAAGAAAGCTTTCCTGTACTTGTTATTTCTAAGAAAAAAAAAATCATTTTAAACAAGGAAGAAGAATAAAAATTACTTATTTTCCAATCATATTTAAAGGATTGAAAGCTATGTTTTTTCTTTGGAGAAAATTCAATACAGCTTATTTTCATTCATCAGTGTAAAGTCTGACTTGAGCTGTAACCCTAATCTATTCCAGCCTAGTGAGAACACAACAAAACGTGCAGCTGTGATGCCACATTGCACTCTGTGTAGTGAGCATTAAGCTGTGCGAAAGGGCTTCACTTGTAGTTCTAGCCTAAAGGAGCTGCTTTATCTTCTTTGGTCCACGCCTCTAGTCATTTAATATCAATTATTAATTCAAACACTTAAAAACAGGATTGCATTTTAACCTTTTAAGTTTTAACCTTTGAAAATGGGCAGAACAGCACATCTGAATATTCTTCACAGAGATATATGGGTAGTACTTTTTTCTTTTTTTTTTTTTAATTTTCCTTGAAAACTTTATCTTTCCTCAGCCTTCCACCTAAGAGTCTGTTGAATACAGGCTTTGCATTACAGCTGTGATAAAGAATCAGATCCATGCCTGTACCCAGGGCTGTTCTGAAGAGGGAATGTTAAAGAGCCCTGCTGTTGCTCAGTAGCAATGTTTGCAGTGACATTTGGAGCCAACCTTCAGATTGCCAACAGTAGCTATAGGAGCCCTCCTGTACCCTGTAGCCCACAGAGAATATTCCAAATTTCTATACCTTGTTCAGAAGGGATAGTTCTCATGTCAATCAGTCTGAATGTGGCTTGCCTCTACTTTTCCAAGGTGGAGCCAGGAAGGAACAAGCTATTCTGGAACAATTGCATTTGCTGTACCCATGCTGGCTGTCATAGTGTCCAGGTCATACTAGCTGAGAGGTTTCTGTTATACTGAGAGGTGTGCAGCTTAAAAATCACCTAAGTGGTTTAGGTATAGCTACCAAATCAAGCAGCTAGCTGTAGTCCCAGTCTGGGCATCAACTGCTATAATCATTATATTTCAGTGAAGGGGGTTCATCTCTGACAAGGTATTTGTACCAGTGGCCCAACTGACCTTGGTTTACTGCAGGATTCTGTTCCTAGACTTTTTTATTTATCCATTAGGATAAATGCTTTAAATTATAAAATATTTAGACACTTTTTGATGGAAAAATTGCATGCATAGCGCTAATATTACATCAAAGAGGCAAGGCTAGTTATAATTTGCAGAATATGATGTAGAGTTGGCTTAGTGAATTTCTCGTGCTCCTGAGAATTCAAGTATTTGTCTGAATATATGAGTTTTTTAACAAGTCTCTGAGCAAATGACAGTTCAAATGGAAAATGCAGTACTCATGGACTGACTAATTTTTGTGCACAGAAACTGAATCAATAAATCCATACAAATGGCATCTTTAAATGGAAAGGATATTATCTCTGCCATTTCTTATTGTATTTAAGGGGAAACAGTATCTCTCTCATGAAGCCTAGCACTCTTACCAAGGAAGAAGTACTTCTGCTCATGAGCATATCATGCTTATGTTTACCACTAGCTTCTCTGAAAATGTTCCTATTTCACTGCAACTATAAACAAGGGCAGATTCTGGGCAGATAGAAATGTTGCTCCAATTCTTTGCATATGTTCAGGGCTGCAGCCCTGTAGAAAGAGGTGCTGCTGTGATGTCTGTTCTGCTGTACAGACACATTTATAGTGGGTGCTGCTGGGAAATGATGCTGTACTGGGGGACCACTGCTGATGCTCCATTCCTTGTGTGTCCCTTAGATGAGTGCTGACCTGAGCCTCAGCTCTTACCCTGTGGGTGGCTGAACACCAGTTCTTTGACTCCCTTCTCTGTGAAGCACTAAGGTCTGGCCCAAAGGAAATGATTGCAGCGATATTTTCTGAGCACAGTCCTGTTCTTCCATCCACTTCCACTTCACACCTGGAGCTGTAACTGTTAGTTTTCATTCGCTTTCATTCCAGAGTTCAGTCCCATGGAAAATTTCTTTCCTTTCCCATCACAGATGGGCTAGCAACGACTGCCATCCTGGCTCCCTGTAGGGTACTGCACCATGGGCTCCCAAAGTGTAAGTTACAGTTGGGAATTTGGAAATGTGACTCAACAAGCACACCATCCATCTCAGTGGATGATTTGTGGGGAAGAACTGCACCTTTGCTCATTGGTGCTAGAAGTGTGAGAGACGTTTGAGGGATTTTTTGGGTCCTCTTTCCATCGTGTTTGCAAGTGAGATGGAGATGCCTGGCTTTTTACTCATTTCTGTATAGCTCTGTGGACAGCACACAGATTGAGGAGTTTTTGACCAGTATTAAACTTTATTTCTAATTTCGGGGACTGTGGTTTGACATGGCATCATGAATGGAGAGAAACAAACAGGATTCAAAGTGATGCCTTCAGATTGTTTTATTTAACAGATCTATTTTTATTTTATTTTTATTTATTTTTTTATTTTTTTACTTAAAGGCACAGCACAGTATGAATCAGTCTCATCTAAAATCACTTTCAAGATGAGATGTAAGTAGGACATCAGGTACAATAAGAACTAAATACACAATAACCTGAGGCAGAATATCATGGCAAACCATGCTCCATGGTATAAATGTACATAACACTAACAGCAGGTAGGACTTTTTTATAAGTAGGTACAATATTTCCACAGCAAGAAAAGTCAGTTGTGGGATTTCCTGTGGTGATTTATTTCAGTTCATCTTAATGTGCTACATCTGGCATTGCAAAAGACAGACTGAGTTGACAAAATAGATCTTAGTACTGTGAAACTGTGATTTGTGAGACACTGATACAGGTTGAAAGCATTTGGGTTGAGTTTACTTGCCACTTGATGGGATTTTCTCTGTTCTCTACCTTAAATGTGGGAAAATTTTCATTTGTGCCAGTTCTGCTATGTGCTTCACAGTGCCCAAAGGATCTTGGTGGTTTCTTTCTTTCTTTCCTTCTGTGGTCATGAAGCTACCATCACCCTGGGATTGGGCCAGACTACTGTTGTGTGGATGCAGAACTGGCAGTGGAATAGACTGGGGGGCCCTGGTCTGGATAACTGTTCCTAGACTGGCAAGGGAACCCTCAGAAATAAAAACTTAGCAGTTCTGCTGAAAAAAAATAAAATCAAGTCTCAAGTCAAGCTGCCCTTACTGAATGCAAGATACCAGAAAGTTGCCAAGTAGACTTGAATGGCTTAGAGTTTTCTTAGTCTGGCACTGTGATGACAGTGATACTGCCTGTACGTTGTGTTATATACAAATCACGTCAGCCATTGCTCAGTTACAATAAGCTATTTGAAGGCCACTTATGTGGTTTGTTCCTATCAGAAGCAGAGGAAAAGACTAAATTGTTGTAGCTGAAATTGCATGCTTTACATGCCACAAACTTGCACATGAAAATGATTGCAAAGACCATGTTCCTTTCTTATTTCCAATGCAGCAGTGTTCATCCACTGAACTCAGTTTAAAGATCTTTAAGTAAAATCAGTCTGACCCACGACACATATTTGACAGTGCATAGAAGTCATATCTGCCATACACAGCTTACTTCTCAAAGGTATCTAAATTAGCCAAATGGCTATTTCTGAAGAGTTCATGCAGCTTTAACACAAAGCTAAATTCAAGCTATTTGGCATTTTAGCTATTCCTTATATTTATCTCTGTCTTCAGATCCCTGGTCTTCAAAATTCTCAAGGGGTGAATCTTATTGGTAACTATTTATCAAAAGGAGATATCCATGTTTTATTTTATTAACATACCAAATAGTACATTTATCAGTGCATTCCTTTTTTTTTTTTTTTTTTTTTTTTAATTTAATTTTTGAGGATATGATACTCCTATATCACAATAAGCAATGTAGATGCCTTCTTAGATGAGTCACTTCTATCAGTCAGCTGTTCAAATCACACTATCACTTATACAACAGTTCACTTTCAGTTAGCTGACTTCTAGTGAAAGAATATTTCAGTGCCAGCCAACTGCTTACTTTGATCCTTTTAAGACTTTTCTCAGTTGACTTGATAGCAAGCAGCATAAATGTCAATCTAATCCTTTATTAAAAGATAGAGACATCGAAGTTACAGTACAGCCATGCTGTTACCTATCAGTGGTTTGATTTGTTTTGATTCACTTGTCTTGCAAGTGAATAGCTTTTCATAGGGGTTACTAATGGACTCTTAGAAAACACTGACTTTGTTGACAGAGGCACAGAGATAAAGCAACAGGTACAAATGAAGGGTACAGACACAATATTATTCCATTCTCTGTAAAGTAGCATTCACTTTCAGGATTCTTTTTTTTTTCCCAGTAAGTTTTTTGATCTATTTTGTAAACTGCTTTTGATTTAATTTTGTTACAACTCTTTAAATAACTTCAAATCATTTAGTTAAATCCTTCTCATTTTAAAAAGTATAAATCAAGGCATTAAATATATATATCTTTTTTCTTTTTTCTTCTTTTTCCCTGTGCCCTTCCTTCAAGCAAGGCTTTTAAAACAGACTTGCTAGGTATCTGCATATGTGTATATATTCATACACTTATTGTATGTATCCTCTCTCTATTCTCAACACAAAGCCAGATGTTTACAGCATGCACTGTCCCATGCTCATGCCATAACAGCAACACACTATTTCTTTGAAAGTCTTTCTCATCTCCAGGCTCCGGAAGGCATAAATAAGTGGATCAATTACCGAGTTGCACATTATCAAGACCAGATAGGTATTGAAATGTGAAGTGTAGCAGACACAATATGGATTCATTGGGCAAGAAATAATGAGAATGAGGTGAAGGAAGAAAGGTGCCCAGCAAACAATGAAGACACCTAGTAATATAGTGATGGTGACAGCTCCTTTCATGCAAGTACGCTGGTAGGGCACCCCGTCCACAGGGAGGGCAGCGATCCGCTTAACATGCAGGCGTGCAAACAAGAACATGTGAACATAAAGGGAGGCCATGAGAAAGAGCATGGTAAAGAACATTGTGATGAGACAGACAATGACAGTTTTGCTTTCTGAGTAGGCAATGAATATGATGCCACAGATGATGCAAGCGATCCAGATGACCACAATCAGGGTTAAAGCTTTCTTCACTGTCATGATACTGTGGTAACGGAGAGCATAGAAAATAGTTATGTACCTGTCAATGGCTATAACCAAGAGGTTGCAAATTGAGGCTACCAAAGAAATACATATCATTGAGTCAAACACATTGTCCATATGCTGAATAAAGTGGTCATCAATGATCAAATAGCCGTTGCTCAGGATTGCAATCATGATGGTCTCCAAGGCATTTGACATGCTCACTAACATATCTGCCACAGCCAAGCTACACAGGAAGAAATACATGGGAGAATGTAGGTTTCCATTCTTCAGGACTGCAAGAATGACAAGGATGTTTTCCAGCAGGCTGATGATCCCTAAAGTCAAGAAGACCTCAGCTTTTATGAAGACCTGCTCACAAAATCCATCGCTGCTTCTGTTGTTGAGGATTGAGTCATTGAAGTCTTCGGTGACATTAAGCAGCACAGGCTGAAATGAAAAGGCAAAGTGTGTGGTATTCATTGTCAGCAAAAGACTTGAATTCACAAGGGATTACAGACCTGACAGAGCAAAGGTTGAAAAAAAGGAGGAAAAGGAAAAAAGAAGAAGAAAAAAAAAGCTTTCCAAGTTGTTGTTGTGCACATGGGATAGAATCAAGCAGGACTTTTTGTTAATCAATTTTGCAAGTAGAAACATAAAAAAAAAATAAATCTTCAATTACAGTGAGTTTTGTGTCAGTCACAGGCTGCTCTTCTGCCTTAGAAGAAAGTGAGCTTCAAATCAGGCATCAGACAGTTTTCTCTGAAGGGAAAAATCATCAGCAGCACGTTGCTGGTTCTAATTCTGGTGATTAAAAGCAGGCAGTTTCCCCATCTGCTGCTGTCAGCTGGCTGGGGCCAGTGTGGGTTCGTGTGTTGCAGCTTTTGTGAAGCATCTCTTGCTACTTCAGTGGCAAGAAAAGTAAAAAAAAAAAAAAAAAAAAAAAAAAAAAAGAACCAAGGGGTTTATACATGCATGAGATAAAAAACAACTCCTACTACATCCTCCTTGCAGAGCAGTGGCCATTAGAGAGCAAGCACCTTTCTGACTGACAGCTGCAACCACCAGGTACAGCATCCCCTCGCTAGATCCACCAGCGGATCTGAAACTGTCTGGCGCCCTCTGCAGATAACAAATATGATTGATTTACCCTAAAATTCATCTGGGAGAAAAATAATAATAAAAAAAGGGTGCTCAGAAGTGTATAGGGTGCCCATGCACTATATTGCTCTACACTCCTTCTGTCCAGAGCCAGAGTGTTGGTTTCATCAGAAACAAGCTCTTGGAGGTTTAATTTCTTGCTCACAAATGATTTCGGTTTGGGCTTTGTTTGTTTGCTTGTTTTGATTCCCAAATTCCTTGCTCACAAGTGAACCAAGTGCGGGTTCTTGTCTCCTCTGCATTGTGCCTCTTCCCTGGCCTAGCTCAGACAGCCTAAAGGCTTAACCAACTCTTGCTAGTTAATACATATATTTTTTCTCTCCCCCTGCCTCAGAAGTAGATTATATTGTATAGGCAGTGAAGGGTTACCCCAGGTGGCCCAGACCCTCAACTAGCTGTTGAATGTATTACATGGAAGTGAAGTTTTAGATGAATACGCTTTCCAAACCAGCTCTGCTAACTTTGGCTTCAAGGACAGGGTTCTTCAAGTTCAGTTGCCTCAGTTGTCTTAACCACCCCCATTATTGATATTATTATTATTAATAATAATAATTATTATTATTTATACTATTGTTCAGTTCATGAGAATGGAAATCTAGTGTTGGTCTGTTTTCCTTGGAAGCATGTCCAATGACCTGAAGTAATCTTTTCTTTCGACCTAATTGCACTTGAACTTTTTTGTCATCCCTTAAGCTAATGATGATCCCCAGCTAGGCACCTCTGTTGGAGAAATTAAATAAATTTCCATGCACCCTTACCTTTCTTTACTCTTTGAAAATTAAACCTTCCTTCCAGTACCTGCTTTTTCTCCTGGGAGGCCACCCCTTACATGGAATTGTACTGATTTTAGCCTGTGTGGGACCAGTTACCATGTAAACGAAGTGGCAAGCACAAGGTGGATTTTCTTTGCACGTTACTTAGTCACACTATAGTTGTGTAGTGATTTTTTTAATTTGATTTTTTTTTGGAAGCACTAACTGATGTCTGTGTATTTCATGACTGGTGTTTTCACAGAAGTTCTGTAGAATCAAAGCAATGTTGTGCCACATGTACTGATATCTGGAGTTTCTATCACAGGTTTGTTTGCTCAGAAAGTGAAAAATCTTTTTCATTTTCATTCTGAGCCCACGGTTTCATTAACACGCACCAATAATTCAATCTCAAATTCAGACTTCAAATGATACCTGTGCAAGGTATCGATTCCATTGCCGGAATTTTAATATGTAAAATAAGCTGGGGACTTGCCCAACAATTTGTCCAGTTAACATTGTAAAGAATTTAATTGGTCTTTCAAAGTCTCTCCCTAAATTCACAGTGATGTGTTTCAAAGCAGATAAATTAAAACAACAAAATATCTCTCCCATTCCTCTAATCCCATGATAGGGAAAATATATTGCCCCCTCTAGAGTGCAGCAGTTATGGATTTATGCCTAGAGCAGCTGCCTTTATTTTGTGCAACGAACCTCAGTTGTTTCTTGCTAACTCTCTTGAGCTGATGGAGTGCACTGAACATAGTGATTTCTGGAAATAGTGATTTTCATTGCCCTAATAAATGTTGTCTTTCCAACAGAGGAGGAGCCCAAGGCTGGGCAGGATATTCCCTCCTTGCAAGCTTACTTGTGCATTGTCTTGTGAAGTGGCAGGTGGAGGTTGTTTTGTCTTGGGTGGGAGCAGGATGGAAGGCAGAGTTCCCTGTCATGGAGAAGGGTGCCCACGCCTGAGGTATGCAAAGAGGTACAACATCCTTCTGGGCTTGTCTCTGGACTACCTGTTGATGGAGGGGCACTAATGTTTTAGCCACCCCCATGTAAACAAATTCCCAGGAGTGTTTTGCCATTTAAATTCCAGTCCTCTCTTCCCCATCTGGCCGGGCACAGCAATGTACTGCACTACGCTTGTTGGTTCTTCAGAATAAAAAAGGTGTCTCTTCAGTTAACATGCAAAACCAGAATTGAGTCATGATTAGTATAAAGCACGAGTGAATCATCTTATATAATTTATTGCTTTGGATATCATGATTTGATCCTTAAATAGCCATTAGCTGGAGAAATGACTCAAGACAAAAAAACAAACAACAGAGCTTCCATCTTCTCTTTTTCTAAGGAAACCTATTAATTTCCTTGCATTTTTTTGGATAATAAAGGTAATGACTTCTTTCTTCTAGAAACACCTGCCATTAAAAGAAAAAAAGAAAAAAAAGAAAAAAGAAAAGAAAAAAAGAAAGAAAAAAAGAAAAAAAGAAAAGAAAAAAACAAGATGTGATTAAAAGGAATTCAATCACATGTGTTAGGAAGAATATAGAAGATGTAAAAGGAAAAAGAACAGCAAAGCAGGCTTAGCCATATCCAGTTGGGAGAGTTAGAACGAGGGGATGAGGCACACGGAAAGTATCCAGGCTGACTGAACATGGCTTACAAGAAATGTCACTCTTTACTTCAGTCCAGGCTAAAAAACTTATTTTCAGTTTCAGTTCTGTAAATATCAACTCTCGAATTCTCCATTACACTGTTCCAAAAGACTGCTACAGGTTTCCCCATATGTCAGCTGAATCTGAGAATCAGAAGTCATTAAATATGTTTCATCATGATTTTCCAAATGCATCTGACAGCAGGAATCAAGGAATCAATCTACCATTTGCACTGAGATGCAATTTGAAGTGGAAATTGAATGTTATATAGTGGATTGGATTAATGGCACTATTAGCTTTGCCATTAAGTGCTAAAAATAGTGGGCTTGAGCATTATGTATCTGATTGCAAGCTCAAGCCAACTCTAAGGTCTTTGCAAAAATGGGAAGAAGCTGTGCTTGCACAAGACACCTTAGGCCACATTTTCAGAAGGTGTTAGGGATTGCTCTGCTCAGAATTGGAAAGCCTAGATGAAATGAAATTTTGCAATATATTTTGCAATAACATATTATTATAAATATTAACATAAGTTGATGGCACTCAGCTGTCAGTTCCTGCTGCTTTTCCGGAGATATATACTGATCATGTCTTTTTTTTTTTTTTTTTTTTGGGGGGGTTACTTGCTATTATTATTCACTTGTTTCTTCACAAGAAAAACTGTATAATCCTCAGGGAAAGGTAAAGAGAAAATAACCTTTACTGCTAAGTGTGGATAATAGAGTTTTTAAACATATTTCTCTTGTGATGATGTTGAATGAAAAACCTTGTTTAACACTTGTCACAAGAATCAATCTGGTATCAGCTGATAAATGCATATAATTTTATTTTATTTTCACTCTTTTTCAACAATAGTTTGTGCAAAACCAAATTGGAAAATTTAAAGGAAGTCATAGAATAATAAACAGGCAGCTATTCCTATTCAACAGGTAATTACTCTTTTCCTGCTGATCCAAATAGCCAAAATAGTGATTGAAATACTTTTGAAGATTTCTCCTCAGTTTTGCTCTTTATAGAAAAAGACTTAGATAAAAATAAAAATAAAAATATTTTATCTCACTGAAGCAAAAGCACTGTACACTGTTTTTGTATTCTGTGCATCTTTCTAGAGTGCCCATTATGTTACAGGCTTTGATTTGGAAATATCTTTAAACATGTGCTTGAATTCATGACCTGGGCACTTCGTGGTGGTTACTCAGCTCTCTACTGACACACAGAGTTATTCTGTGCTGAACTCTTGACTCAATAGAATTTTAGTTTTTGGTAATAGAATACTTGACAAATGCAATAAATTAAACTGAAGATGTTATTCACCAGATAATTTGTAGATTATAAACCTGTTGAGTAGTGACCAAGTTCAAGAAAAAAAAAATCATTTAGTATTTTTCACTGAAGTCATGAAGATATCACTAGTTATTAAAAATAGTGGAAATCTGGTTTGGGCTCTTTTGCTTTCAGGTTATCAATGTATAACAAAATGGAAGTAAGAACCTCACAGTAGTCTGGCAAAAAGGACACATGATGACACTATCTTAAATACTTGGATGATTAAATGCTGTCCACTAAAATGCTGTGGTTTTTATGAAAGTTTTAGAGTAACAACTTTGCGGAAGCATTTTTGCTACTGTCATTCATAGACTGCAGAATCAGATGCAATATTGGAAAAATATCGATTATGTTCCTTCAAGAAGCTGTATTTCATACATTTTGCAATCAAGCCCATAGCTAATAAAGTTATTTTATACTCTGAGGCTCACTACAATCTGAGGCAAGAGTGAATCTGAGATGAATAGAGGGTGCACATATTTGTATCAGATTATTAGAAGAGATTTTCTAATTGTAAGAGTAGATCCTCACCTGATACAACCAACTGAAACCTTATTGAAGTAGAATGCTTGCAGTTTACAGCATTTCAAAG